CAATATAGGTATATACTAAGTTTCAGTCTTTCTAGTGTTAATCAGTGTTCTGCGGTTGGCACGAGCTTTCGTTTGCCTTATGAACCAGGAGGTTCGATGCTCCATTTATTTTACGGCAGATTAAAATTAGTCGCAAACAGGGATAGCGGCGACCGGTTGAGCAGAAACGCGCCCCGGCCATAGAGCCTGCTACTCTGCTTAACTCCTCGGATTAAACCCTTTTCAAAAGCCGTTAGAATTTGCCTTAATAAAAATCGTTCGCTTTGAGAGGCACGCTTCACGATCGAGCGGTTCCTGTATTTACAGGATGTATCAAATTATGAATTTGCTAATTCTCGTATCGTCGCGACTAGTTTCAAAATCGATAATCAACCTGATCCAATTAAGCCGCGTACACAGGACTGATATCGCGTTCCTATATCGTATCGTGTTCTCGAATAATTAGACATACGCGTTTGTAATCAGTACGTCCGTATCTCTTTTTCCCGCTTTTGTCTTGCCTCGTCGGAATGATGTAATCACGCTCGTACACAAGCCGAATCTCATTTTCCTCATATTTCGTTCTACATTATTAATGAGTGGACTGCGAGTTTTTATCTAAAATGGAACGTTGCATTTTTAAAAAATCAAATCATCACTGTTTTACTCTATGGAAATATTAATATACATTCCACTTTTTCAATCTCCTGTCGCCGGGTATTACACGTTTTTATCATTTTCGTATTTTGCAATTTTTATTTTTTCTTTCACAATACAACGCTTTCATGTCACGTGTACTCAATGGTATTTATTATTCGTGAACGGCATTGTTCTTTGTAAAAAATTCATCTGGAGGCTTGCGACGCGAATTCATTTGGAACGGGGAACATAGGTTGCGAGCGGATCGATTCACCGTGCAAAGTTCACTGCTATGTCTATTATTAGCACTAGCCGGAGCCCACAATCGTAGGTTACAGTCAGTAAATCAGCCAGCGATCGTATTTTGTCGCGCATTGTCCCTGATAAGGAGCGCCTGTTTCGTTAATAACAATTAACCGAGGGAAATAATGATTGATCGATCGATCGATTCATTCATTGATATCAGCTGATTAGTGCAAAGACTGCTTACCCCTTGTCTATTCTCGAACTTCGGCTTAAACGTCTAATCGGTACTAATAATTCCGAGAAGATCGAAACTGGGGCAAAGCTCGGGGTAGGTCGTAGCGAAAGTTTCCAGAACTTAATAAGCGGCTCGTTCATTTCGAGAAACGAGCTTGATCACTTAATAAGCTGGATAATCTCATTTTTATATCTTATTATTTTCTACTATCAACGCGTTATCTATTAAATGCTTTTACTTAATTTTCCTCGATTTCATTGCGC